TAATCGTTTGTTTTTTATGAATATCTTAAAGTCATTAATATTTTCGGTTACTTGAAAACCATTTGAAGGTCTTATTCAGGCCAATTAAGTGGTTTACAATAGTGGATTTATCAAAAATATTTCTAGGCCTAATTTTATTTTTGATATGTGTAAGCCTATATCGTGTCCATAATCGTGGATTGTTAAAAATATTTTTGAAGTCATTACCTAATTGAGTGTTCTAGAATCGTAAGTTTTTTAAATATTTTTGAAACCCAAATCAAGGCCTATAAAGTACCCCATTAGTTCTGAATCACCTATCCAGGCTGTCATGTCTAAAATCATTGATTTTTTAATATATTGAAGCTCAAATCCAAACCTTTTTTAATATTTCAAAAACTTTAATAAAAAAGTAAAAAAAGAAAACATTAAGTTCGGCCGGGCCGAACTTTTAACGCCCTGCACCATTGGGTAAAGAAAACGTTTTTTTTATAAAAGTATCTAAATTCAATTGTGTTCAATGCTGTTAAACTTTTCAAAAAAAAAAAAAAAAAAAAATCCACGTAATGTGGGTGAGGCCTTTATATGGGCGCCATATCAAACCGGAAAGCTCTATAGACAATTTTATATTTCAAGGATTGCCATCTACCAAATCTTCTTAAATACGAAATTTGAAACAATTTCGTGGGTAAATGTGACTAGGATTATCGAAATACCGAATATCGGTGGGTATCGTTACATGTGCGCTTTACGAAAACGTGGACCTAGATATTCAATGTTCTGTTACTGGAGCTAGAACCCATTATTTACTACAAATACTAATTTATATACAAATCCGTAAAAAAATGTGGCAAAAATCAACAAAATACTGAATATTGGCATGTACCGTTATATAGAGGCTATCCCAAAACATGGACCTATATGGCCCATACAATATTCCGTCATACTAGGCTGGAACTGTTATAACCTACAAATACCCATTTTTAGATAAATTCGTGCAAAAATGCTGCAAAAGTCATCAAAACGCCAAATATCGGAAAGTACCGTTATATGGGGGCTATAACAAAATGTTGACCCATATATACTATGATCCTCCACCGGATCTATAAGCCATTACGAACTACAAGTACCAATTTTTAAAGAAATCCGTGAAAATGTGGCAAAATTCATAAAATACCGAATATCGGAAGGTACCGTTATGTGGGGGCTATAAAAAAACGATGACCCATATGTACTATCATCGGCCACCAGATCTAGAACCCATTACGAGCTACCAATTCTTAGATAAATCCGTGGAAAAATGTGGCAAAATCATCAAAATGCCGAACATCGGGAGGTACCGTTAATATGCGCTTCGCTACAAATGGACCAAAATACCGTAGAGAAATATTTGGGCAGCGTGTGACTTTTTCATTGGCCGTTTGAAGGCTATAATTCGTGACAAAGGTGACCAATTCGAACGAATCTAAACTTATTTTAAAATTTAACGCTAAAATCTGTGCTTAAGATATAGAGGTAGTTGCGTAAAGATGTGCTATAATTATTTAAATAGTACTATGTTCGGTATTAAGTGAAGAAATAGAATTGAAATGTCAAAATTTGTTGTAAATGTTAATGTTGTTGTTTGTGGTACTATTATTGTTCCAAAATTACTGGAATCCCAAAATTTGATATTGAGCTCTCTGTTGGTATCTGGGATTGATATCTGGAGATGGTTTGGTAAATTTGTATTATAATTGTACGAAAACTACTAAATGGTACTATATTTGGTATTGGGTGAAAGAATAGAAATACAATTTTGAAATTTGATATTTGAATTACTGATTGGACCTCTGTATGAGATTTGTTGGTGGTTTGGAAATGTGTCGTTTATTTGTACGATATGTACTAAATGGTACTAAATTGCGGTTAGGTTGAAGGGATAGTGCTGAAATCATGAAATTTGATACATGTGTCACTGTTGTGGCTAAGATATGGACGTGGTTTTTGGAAATGTGTACTAAATGGATATGTGTACTTAATTAGAAAATGGGGTAAATTAAAGAGCTAAAATTCTGAAATTTGATACTTGGTTTCTTGTGTTTACATATGGGAAATTAAGCCCTTCTTATGTTAGAAGATTTGTAGTATAGTCTATACTTTTTTGTGGTTCCAGCTCCGTAATCGGAGATTTCCTTTAAAACCATATATTTTTATTATTGTTTAAATTTATATGGAAACCTTTAATTACAGTTAGAGTAAACCACTCTTTGGCTTAGCCTACATGTAAGGACACTTATTAATTAACAGTAATTGAAACAATTTTATATACATGAAAATGTAAAACTTTTTGATCAATCTTGGTTTTGGTCATTTTTTAGCAAATCAATGCCCCAATGCAATATACTCGTCTAGCATACATCAGCTAAATTCAAATTACTAAATATCAATGGCAAAAACAAGAAAAAAAAACGAAAAACAAATAATGCTAAACAAACTTATATAACCTTGAATATTTGTTGCAGACATTTAAAGCGTGAGAGAATGATGATTATTTCAGCCTGTCGCCAAAATGTATAAACATTTCCAACTCAAACTAACTAAACGACCGAACGACCTCCCGCCCGCCCATCCTTCAGATATACAAAACAATAAAAATCAACAGCAACAACAACAACAAGTTCACATAAAAGTTACACGGAGCCACAACGATGGCAAAGGATAATGGTTCGAGGATTTTTTTTTCGGCGAACAAATAAAATATAATAACACAATTCTGAAATTATGATAAAACATGCAAATATGTGTTAAGTTTTGATTTATAACAAACTATTGTGTCGTCGTATATGATTTCGATTTGATTTCTATTACTGGCGGCACACCAGCCTGCCTCCCTGCCTGCCAGTCAGCCAGCAAGCACTTATAACAAATACTTGGCATTTATTTAATTCGTTATAAATGCTTTAGCTATCAAATACAATAAAGAGAGGGAGAATCTCTGCGCTGGAAATGGGGTAAATAAATGTCTAACTTTGTTAACGCTTTATTATTCACAGATATGATATTCCATTGAAATGAATAATTAGGTTTGGTGGCAGTGAATAGATAGAATAAATAGGTGTGTTGGTTGGCATTAGTATTATATATTAAATTGAATTTATTGAAGTGGCATATATATTTGCTTAAATATATTTCTGAGTGTAGTTGAAATGGAGAACACTGCTTGTCAGGAATTTCAAGAATCTTGTACGGTGGTAAATTGGTATGTTTTTAATTAATTTAATAAAACCTTAAAGGCTGGAATATGTAGCATGGGGTAGGAACAACTGTTTTTGGAAGCTTTAACTAGAAGCTTAATTTTGGTATCGGTATCGAAACTGCAACCAAATTCTTTCATGTCAAAGTCACTCGTCCGACAGCTGCAACAATTATTCCAGTGACAGCTCATTACATTTTTTTTACAAACGTAGAAAAGCATTTTGATGAGAATTTTCCAGAAAAGAAGTTATTCGTAATGGAATTCAAGCGTGATACTGTGTGATTTCTTTATATTAGGCTGGAAGCCACAAGTGGCTATCGTTAGAGCACTCCAGCATTTAAATGTGAATAAATCTTTTGTGTCTCGTACCATCGTTCGTTACCGTGATACTGGTAGCGTAGCCCGACGTCATGGAAGTGGACGGAAGAAAACAGCAACTCGTGGCTCGTGAGCTGTACATATCGCAATATTCCATTCGGCAAATATTAAAAAATAAGATCTGGGTAAAGCCATTGAAATTCCAAAAAGCGAAAGAACTCACACCGCTTGGCCGAAAGTGGTGAACTGCCGAACTTGGTTTTCTCCGGTTGTCCAGCAGTTTGTAAACAAACAAAATTATCGTGTTTACTTGCCAAATGTGAAATGTGCACCTTCGGTAGGCCACCAGAACTCAAGCGCCGGCCATGGTGATGGTGTAGGCCACCATAACAGCCGATGATCGCTCTCCGCTCGTATTAATCGATCATGGCATCAGAATAAATGCCGAATATTATCGCGAAAATATTCTGGAGGGTGTATTAAAGCCTTGGGCACGCAAACGTTTTGGCCGCAGACCTTGGACATTCCAACAGGACTCAGCAAAATAGCACCCAGCACGCGCCACCCAAGTATGGTTGTAAAATGAGGTAATAATTAAATGTACTTTCCCAAAATAACAGAACTTGCTGATTTTCAGTATTTTTAATGTTTCGGTCTAAATCTCTAACCAAAGCAGCTGTAATTTTATGTATGGGCTTCTATGTACCGATACCTTCTGTGTGTGGTATAATTTGGTTGATTAACTCCTTTCAAAAATATTTAATAATGGAATAGTTCTACTGCTAAGGAGCCTTCAACTGCTCACGATTTTGAGAATATTCGATACGGTCATAATCCAACTGTACGTACTCAAAGTTATTTTGTTCCATTTGTTCGATGTGTTGTAAACCTGTGTATTTTTCCCTTACTTGCCAACCTGACTGGCCTCAATAAATTAACTAACGACAATATTTATGTGGAAATATCTTCCACAATATATCCCAAATGTATAACTGTTATTTATTAGGTCTATTCTTTCTTCAATCACCGGTGAGGCATGTAAACATAAATGTTCTATTAATAATCTAGACAAAGGCCAATTGACTGAGCGTACAAACGAACCAACGACCAGATGGATGGATGGCTGGCTGGCTGGCCGGCAGATCGGTCGACCAACCACATAAACGTTGTTATATTTTGCACACTCACACACACGCATACTTATACGAACAAAATAAAATATGGAATTTTTATGATAATACAAGTCATATATATTTTTTTTTCTCTGTAAATATCATAAAAAATATTTGAGATAATTACATATTAATGAAGTATTATGGGCGGTGCTATTGTTTGCGGCAATAAATCAAAACAATAAAAGAAATGAAAATTTCTCATACACGCCACCCTGAACAATGCAGAATTGGGCCGATGGACATTTCTATGACCCTGTACATGTACCGTTATAAATATATGTATTACTTACCTTTACTCGCCGGGGGTTTTCTGGTGGCCCAGTTGGTTCTAATTGAACGAGATCCCAACCATTGGCCGTTCATGGCCGTTATGGCACTTTCGGCTTCCTGTAAAAAAGGCACGCAGATAAAGAAAATAAAACCATGAATAATTGAGGTAAGATGGTGGCAACGAGAAAGGAAATTGGGTAATGGAGGCAAGTATTTTAAAGAGTATTCTAAATGTCATAAGGTCATCATCGTTTAAAAATATGACTTACCGATTTTTTGACAAAGGACACAAAGCCATAACCCTTTGATTTCAATGTTTGTGGATCGCGTACCACACGACAATCGCTGTAATGAAATGAACAAGGGAAAAAAATGATAAATATAATTTTCGTTTAATTTCAGTTCAACAATATTTCAAGTGTGTCAAGTACATCGCAAGCACACACACACATACATAAACATTTTTTGTACACTAAACCACCAAAACAATGAACAACTGAAACTAACGACGACCAACAAATACAAAAAATACTTTTGCTGATATTATGTTATAAAGGCAACTGCCGGGTAACTTTGAACAAGTTTATAAATATTTTAATTAGAATTTCAAAGAATTCCATTAAAATGATATCATACTCTACTCCATCGCCGCCCCACTCCCATATTCGTCCTCTCAAACCCAAAAAATTGACATAGTAGCTATGAATTGAAAAAAAAACAAAACTTTGCCAAAGTGCGTAACATCAAAGCCATTGTTTTGGCAAGTTAAGTGATTCCTTAATTTATTGTAATAAAAAAGTGAATGAATGAATACAAGGAACAACAACAGTAACAGCAACAGCAACAAAATCAAGGCATGTAATCTGAGAACTGTGACATTTTTTTGTCCTCTGCACAAAATAGTTGTTACAATATTTTGGTATTATGCCTACCAATGTCGAAAGGGATTTTTGTTCTTGGAATGAGATTCATTATCAAGGTAGGGGAGTGAGTGTGACTTTTTTTGGGGGAATAACGTTAATAAAGCATCTAGCCATATGCCATATGCCGGGAAGGGGATTTTTTTATTGTCACCTTGGTATTTAAGGTTAAAATTTCTTTGAGAAAAGTTTTTATATATACTTTGAACCAAAAAGTAGGTTGAGTTGGTAAAGTGTCAAAGATAATAAACGCAAATACTTTTTAAAGAAGGGGAATGTCAATCATTTCATTGTTAGATGAGATTATGTAAAGCAAGTTATATGAAGCCAAATTTGGGCAATAAAACCAAGGAATTAAATGCTTGGCCGAAAGTTATACTGTAGGGGTTGCGATCAAGGAAGCGTGGTAAACATTTTGTAAGAATCATAAAAAATAGTTGTTTGAAATTAGCGTTGGCCTATAGACACTGTTTTGCTAAATACCAAGAACGAAAACTTATTCATTACAAATTAAAAACGGATACGACAAACGTAAAAATAAGGAATTGATATTTTCTTACTTAAATTGAGTAATATATTGGAATTAAAAGGTATCAGAAAGTTTTGCCGACAGCTGTATACCCTCATGATTTGCACCGATTCATAAGCCAAAAGTATAAAAACAGCATTGAGATAACCGGTTTCGAGATAATTAAAAATGTAGCTAACATTATAAAAATGCCGAATGAAGATGTATACAAAGATATATATCTGCACAGGCAATTTTTATAACCTACACCACATAATGGTAAGGGTATTATATCTTTGTGCATTTGTTTGTAACATGGAGAAGAAAGCGAGATAGACCCATAGTTACTTTTGAGGATCTTATTAGAATCATTTTCTGAGTCGAATTATGCATTTCAATCCGTCCGTTTTTGTAAACAAAATGCAAGTCGAACTTATCATCCAATTGACATGAAATTTTCCAAAAAAAAAATATTTGTTTAGCCCAAGGGAATTGAAATTGCTGAAAATCGGTCTCATATTTATCTTCAACCGATACAGCTCAAAAATAAGTGTCTGAAATTTTATCGAGATAGGGTCAGATTTTTATATATTGATACATCTTCATCCGATATCAGGTTTATTGTGCACCAAATGGACGGAATTTTGGCAATTCCCACTGAATTCATAACAGAAACTTCAATTCATCCTAGTACTTCAAATTTGGTGAAAATCAGTTCCGATATAGCTATAGCTCTCATATATAGGGTGAGATAAAAAAACTGCTTTGTTTTAATTGGTCACCTTTGGCACGAATTATGGCCTTCAAACGGTCAATAAGACCGTCACACGCCGCCCGAATGTTGCTTTGCGTTATTGTGGCCCATTCCCAGCGAAATGCTTTCTTGAGGCGATCGACACTTTGGTATTTTTTAGTGCCAACCTTGCTTTCCAAAATACTCCAGACACAATAGTCCAACGTATTGGTATTCGGACATTTTGGTGGCAATTGTGCACTGGAAATGAAGCGAAGAACCTCATTTTGTAACCATTCTTGGGTGGCGCGTGCTGAGTGCGATGGTGCTGAGTCCTGTTGGAATGTACAAGGTCTGCGGCCAAAATATTTACGTGTCCAAGGCTTTAATGCACCCTCCAGAATGTTTTCGCGATCATATTCGGATATTCACCTTTAACAGGGTCGTACCAAGTCAAAATTTTCCACAAATTTATAAAATTCTACTAAAGGTGCTAAAATACATCAAAAGTCTAAATCTTACGTAGGCGCTAGGAGTTATAAGTATTTAAAAACACATTTTAGGATTGAGGTACTTCTGCGTGTAAGCTTATGCAAAATTCTGCAACAAAACATCATTTGAAAAAAAAAAAAACGACATTGAAGACAAAAACATTCTTCATAAAATCACTGTGAGTCGCTAAAAAATTCCCAGAAAACACAGCTTTTAGTACCTTATTGCTTACCAACCAACTGCTATGTACTTCTTAAATTCGCTTCTCTATCATTTTTGGAATATTGCTATTTGCCCTTTGAATTACGTGTTTGTTTTCATTTAGCGTTGTCTAAGTTCGTACTGTTTTTTGAAGGGTTATTGACCAAAATTTCAGTCTATCCCATATTAATCTCCAATCCAGGATTGCCTCTCTACTTTAACTTTTATACTATTTATACGTTTGCCAAGTTCGCCTTGGTAACTTCAAAGTTTACATATTTATGTATCAACCCTTTGGGCCTTAAAAGGTGAAAGACATTTTTGCATTTTTAGGCGGAAATTTAGATTTTATTCTATTTTCACCCTTCAATAAAAATTGTTCTATATCTTTTAATTTCTTAGAAATCTCTTCATGTAAGTATTTAAAAATCGTTTTAGGAAAGGACTTTCAGCCTCGCTCAAATTATACAAAATTATTCTGTTAACCACTTATTTGCAGTTATATCTTCCTGTCAATGGAGATGGATGGAAAAATTCATTAGTGGCATTTTTTGCACATAATTATCGATTCCAAGCAATTTCAATTCCCTTTCCCCGCAGTACTGTCAAACGAGATAAGCACTGTAAAATAAATAATTGTATCACAATATATATATTTTATAATATTTCAAATATTTGCCCTGCCAAGGGCTAGTGTTGGTCATATCATCTTACTCGCTGTTTAAACAGCTTGTCATTGTAAATATACATGCAAGGGGGAAATTTTTGAAAAAATGTCATAGTATGACATTAACGACCATTACACAAAGAAATTGTTTATTACAAAATATGCCCACCCTCTCTCGCGCTGCAAATAGGTATTTCATTTCACACAACAAAATATATAGTATCCTGTAAAAGATATGTTTTCAAATAAACTTTTGAAATATTTTTCTTTAGATTTTTGGTTTGCATTGTTTTGTTCTGTTCTGTTGGCGCGCAGCTGTTCTTTTGTTGTCCCTTCTGGGGTCCGTCTTGTGCTATCATAATTTATTTAAATTAAGCTGTAGATTATAATTCTTAAACAAAATATCTTTATTATGAACTTTTTTTTCGGCCACTGCCACCGAACCACTGAAATGTAAATATTATGAAAAAGAAGCAGCAGCAGTGCCAGAAGAAAATGAAATTCTTTAAAATATTTATGTAAATTTTTAATATTTTTACGGTGCCGTTTGAATGTTGTGCTGGCTGGCTGGCAAGGTAATGGGGGAGGAGTTGAATTTCCAAAGGAAATCAACAGTAAAATGTCTTAACTAGACTTCAAATACGCCCACTGCATTTGCAGTCGTGTGAAACCTTGTGGCTTGTTATAACATTGTCCCAAGTTAGAAATAAAAAGTCTGATTCCCAGCACAAAACTAAGCAGCAAAAGAAAAAAAAACATTGAAAAAATAAAATGTACACCCCCAATCTCAATCCATCTGATTGGGGTTGAGATTGTGAAAACAAAACAAAAAAAACCCAAGCCATGCCAAAGAAGCACAAAAACAACACCAAAGAAAAATAAAAAGCATGGCCCACCACAATGAATGAAATGAAAACATCCGAATAGGAACTGAACAGCAAAAAAAAACAAAAAAAATATTAAACACACACTCACACAGCCACACACAAATCGTAAAGTCTTTATGCCACCTGTTCTAATTTAAAATTCATGTTCTACTTTACTCATAGGCTGCTGTCAAAAGGAATTTTTTACATTTTTACTAACCTCAAACAGGCCAGTGAATAGAACCGAAATGCCATGGCAGGAAGGTGGGCAGGCAAAGGGACCAGGGGGAGGGGTGGTTGTTTAAAAAGAGGACGAGAAAGAGAATACGCAACAAAGATTTACATATTTACCAAAGTATAACGACGCAAACGACACAGGCACGTTGGTAAATTCGACACTGGTACTAAACTAACTGACTGCCCGCCTGACTGACTGCCTGAATGAATGACTGACTGCATCAAACAAAACAAAAAATTTAAATAAATTTTAAAATTAGAAATCTGACCTTGTTGAACATTTTATTTGAAAAGTTTTTGCGCTATTCTCATTTATCCAGCTAACTGCACAATGGGTTGTTAAACAAAATATGTATAAAAAAATAACAGGCCCACTAAGGATACGTTAGAGAACTACCCTTAGCAAATAAACGTTTATATTGGGAATTCGTGTAAAATTAATCCTAAAAACTAGGATCGTTATTGATTTGATTTCCAGTAAATTTAAAGGAGGTATTTCCTATGGGAAGCCTGTTATGAATTTATAATTTATTATTATTTATAAAAATCGGGTACTATATCTGAACAAAACTTGGCTGACTTTATTCAAGGCGAAACTTGAGCATAGCGTTCTTGGGTTGATATTTGATCGGATTGGGTACCATTCATTTGGTACCCAATCCGCGCACCACCGAAAGGGTATTACTCTGTCATTCTGGCTCTTTTTAAGTTGAGTGGCCGA